AAGGTGAAAAAACATCATTTTCAACCAAATTTTGTGGTTTTTCAACTTATTTTTGTTTAAATATTGCCCAAAACATCAATTCCGATTTATTTTTGTGATTATTAAGCATGTTTTGTAGAATAAATCTCCGAGTAATTAAACAATTTTTTAGTCGGCTTTAAAGAAATTTTAGGAAAAGTTTTTATTTCAAAAATGTGCTTGAAAAACAAAAATCTTGGTAAATTTTTGGATTTTTTTGACTGAAATTTGGAAAAAAAATCCGTTTCTATTTGTAAAATGTGATAAAACACTTGTAAAACAAACAAATAAAACGTTCACAAAATTGATTTTTCGGCTTATTTAGAAAAAATACCGAATTGAGTTTTAGACTGAAAAACACAATTTTTTTAATTTGGTAATTTTCCGGCTCGCCGTAGCAAAAATCCCACAAAAACAACGAGATTCGAGGTTAAAAACATGTTTAAAAAAATGAAAAAACATAATTTTCGACCAAATTTTGTGGTTTTCCGCTTATTTTTCATTAAATATTGCTCAAAACACGCGAAACAAACAAAATTTCGATTTATTTTTACGATTTTAAAGCGTGTTTTACCAAGATTTCAGAAAATAAATCTAATATAGTATTTTTGCCAACTTTAACGAGATTTTCAAAAAAAGTTTTTGTCTCAAAAACATGCTTAAAAAAGCAAAAATAGCACCATTTTTGGTCAAATTTTAGGCTTGATTTTAACAAAATAATTCCGTTTCTGGCTGAAAAATGTGATAAAAACGTAAATCAATATTGTTTTCTTTGGCCCTGTTCAGTGAAACTTGTAAACAAACATTTTTTTAACTAATTCATTAGAGATTTTTTCGGTTTTTGGCTGAAAAACATGAAAAACGTAAAATTCGCAGATTACGTAACTAAACCGCCAGATCTGGCAACGTTGGCGGGCGCTGACGCAATCATCTGATTCGCGCGCATGCGCCGCAACATGGCGCCAAATTTGAAGTTGGGAGGAATAAAAGTCGATTTAATGTTTGAATTTTTACAATTTATTCTTATTTACCATACAGACATAAAATAATAGTAATAATAATGTGCATAAATCATGTAAAGAATGTAGACTGAACGCAAGTCTTATAAAAATATAAATAAAGAGACTGCACATATACATTGGGCGATTGCATGAAGTTCAGACTGTCTCTACGAGTAGCACAACTTGAATGATAATAATTATTGCATACTGACTAAAGAGGCTATTTATAACTTTAGGTATGCTATGTTATATTTGCACTAACATCGAACTATATTATGTTTTAATAGTATACATTAAAATAAAGCTTTTACCTGAATTTTGAGTGGTTATACATCGTGTCTAAAAATTGCCAATCTCACATCACTTTTGCTTATTATAATAATAAAGTTAGGTATATAAATGTATGTAATTTACAGAGATATGAAAAAGAACATGCCATTCAGGGTGATACCATACCAAAACACATCAAAATGCAATTTTGTTTAAAATTTAGCATCTCGGATGACATAAGTGGTCATAGTTTGGAAGGCACTTCTACTTACTCGATTTTTGAACACATTAAGCCTAGTCACGAACTGAAAACTCTACGAAAAACTGAAACCGGGAGTTTAGAGATCCGAAAGTACTGAAAGGCCACTTTTTGAAAATATCATATCACCTCACGACATATGCGAAAGTCAAACAACGAGCGTGGTAGACCCATAAATGGCAGGAAGGCATTTATAATTTCTTCATTTAAATCGTAATAATTTCTTTTCTACATTTACAATAAGTTTTATATAAATTTTGTACATTATTTCATATCCTATCATCTAAACAAATCACAAAAATAATTTTTTGTTGGCTCCGTGACTCCTAACACTATCTGAAAGTATAAATGTTTCTGTGTGCTATTTGGTGAACTGAGTCGCAAATAATCTAGTGTTGCTTCACTCAAGTTGTCTTTTGTTCGAGTTGCACTACACTTTGTACATACACAACACCTACATTCACTACATTGTAACATATAATACATTTGGCATTGCTACAAGTCACTAAATCATAGCTTCTTACCATGGAAATGCACACTCGACAAACAGATTCACGCACAATTTAATAACATATTCATAAAATTTTGATTTTATTATTATGACCTGTTTGTCGCGACTGGAAATACAGAAGCTAAAGGCAGAATCAACAAAGCAATACTTATATTCATCTCATCTTTAAATACATTTACATTTCTTTACAATATATGTACTAAATAAATTAAACGAGACCAACTGAATCGAAATACTGATAGTAACTGACCATTTCTATTAAGTTCCATGTCTAAATCTAGCTAAAACAGGAATTGTAATATTGCACTGAAAAAACACAGTGGCTGGCTTTCTTGTTACTAAATACCACAACACACGTCCCGGTAATTTTGTACAAGTTATCCCATAAAATCTATCAAGTGACTTTGGTGTATTCGTAGTTATCTCATTTCCCACCGGTGACGTTTAATATCGCTAAAAAAACTGTTGGCGACACTGAATTACTCGTAACCGTTCGGTTTCTAAGCAAATGACAATCATTTACAGTCACCCTGTATCACACCAGCGCCGAAATTTTAGTTCAAAAACATGTTCTAACGTAAAAGTAATATACTTTTCGACCGAATTTTGTTTTTTCAGCTTATTTTTGACAAAATATTCCTCAAAAGAGAGCCAAACAATCATTTACAGTTACCCGGTGTAATATCGACTGTAATTTTAGTCGTATCGACAAATTTGAAATATTCATTTGACAATCATAATTTATAACCGTCACAAAAATAATAATTTTGGATTTTTACAAAATTTTAAAAAATACTTGAAAACCTTATTAATTTTTTTCGGCGATTTTTCGTAGGGAAATCACCCAAAAAACTCGATATTTTAGTTCAAAAACATGTTTAAGAGTTAAAGAAATGAAAATAATATAATTTTCGATCGATTTTTGTGTTTTTTTCTGCTTATTTTCGACAAAATATTGCTTAAAGTACAGCCAAACAAACAATCATTTACAGTCACCTAGTATAATACCGACTATGATTTAGTCGCACCAACAAATTGAAATATTCATTTGACAGTTGTAACGGTTAAATAAAAAAAATAATTTTGCATTTTTAGAAGATTATGAGAAACAATTGGGTTCCCAAAATACAGTTTTCGACCAAATTTTGTGTTTTTTCAGCTTATTTTTGACAAAATGTTGCTCAAAACAGTCAAACAATCGAAATAACATTAACTTCGATTTTATTTTGTAATTTTCAAGCAAAATTTTAGAAAAAAAAATGTCAAGTTACTAAGATGAGGATACAAAATGACAATCATTTATAGTCACCCTGTATAACATCAACTTCAATTTTAGTAGCCACTATGACTGTCTAATAATTGCATTTTTACAAAATTTTGAAAAATAATTGAGTTCCTGGCTGAAAACCCTGTTGATTTGGTGATTTTTCGGTTTGTTGAAAAAAAAACTCTCCAAATTTTAGTTCAAAAACGTGCTTAAAAGTTTAAAAAAAGTTAAAATAGATTTGATAAAAGATTTGTGTTTTTTCCAGCTTATTTTTGACAAAATGTTGCTCAAAATAGAACTAAACAATCATTTACAGTCATCTGGTATAATATCGACTGTGATTTTAGTCGCACCCCAACCAATTTGAAATATTAATTTGGCAATCATGACTGTCTAATAAAAAAAATAATTTTGCATTTTTACAAAACTTTGAGAAATAGTTATTATTAATTTGGTGTTTCTTCTGTTTGCTGTAGCGAAATTACCCAAAAAAACTCGAAATTTTAGTTCAAAAACGTGAAAATATTATAATTTTCAACCAAATTTTGTGTTTTTTCAGCTGATTTTTGACAAAATGTTGCTCAAACAGAACCAAACAATCATTTACAGTCACCTGGTATAATATCGACTGTGATTGTAGTTCCACCAACACATTTGAATTATTAATTTGGCAATCATGACTGTCAAATGAAAAAAATAATTTTGCATTTTTACAAAATTTTGAGATTTTTTGAAAATCCTGCTAATTTTTGTGATTTTTCGGTTTCCCATGGCAAATTTTACTTCAAAAACTGCTCGCAAGTTTGAAAAAGGTGAAAATAACAAAATTTTCGACCAAATTTTTGTGGTTTTTCAGATTATTTTTGACAAAATATTGCTCAAAACAGAGCTAAATAAACAAAACGATTTCAATTTTATTTTGCAATTTCCTGGAATAGAAAAAATTGCTGTCAAAAATAAACGCCACTAAATTTCAGTTAGCCGTTGCCTATAAAAATTTTACGTTTGAAGTTGGGTCAAGGTTACCAACATGAGGACAAAAATGACAATCATCTGGTAAAATACCGACAATGAAATTTGAAACTTTAATTTGGCAACCATGACTGTCAAATACAAACGTCACAGAATTATTGGTAATTTTTCGATTTCAGGCTAGGCTAAACCAGCGGTTGCCTATAAAAGTTTGAATTTGAGAGTCAAGGTTGCCAACTTGAGGAAAAATAAAATGGGCAACTGGTAATTCAGTGTTGCCATCAGATTTTTGTCACAATTTTGGTCACTCGGTATATTAAATAAACGCACACTTTGCTCCAATTCTGCGGTATGCAAATATGAAAAAATAAATACCTAATGCATCTGCACACTTAACAACTAAAAATATATAAATTACTAAAATAAATAAATTAGCTTTTTACAAAATATAATTAAGTAAATATTTAAAGCAATTCCTCAAAAAATGTTTATTTCTTTTTATGATTAGAAAGAGGCAAAGCCAAACTTTATTTTTTGCCAGCAAAAAACAATGAGATTTGTCACTGACACTGACTATTTTTTCTCCGAAAAGCGACATAAATAAAAATAAACATTTTAATAAGGTTGGAAATAAATTTAATAAATTTGTATATGTGTACAGGTGCCTGGATTGAATTTTAGAATATCATATTATTGCATAATTTTGGGCCCCGATAAGTCAGTGTCATTGAAAATGTAATTTTTTTCTAAACCGATTGTCAAAAATTGGGAATGTTGATATAGTTTCTGCTCATGTGATTCCCCTATCCACTCTAATTTTGAATTTCGATCAATAGTATACATATACACAACAGTCTTGTGGAACTGGCCGAAACTTTGGCTAAATTTTATCAAAATCGTCGAAAACTTCTACTCACTAAAAATAATTAACATTTGATAATAAAAAAGAACCTAATAGTAGTTTATCACATTACATTGTAGCATTGTCTCGTTTCATTCGCCACGACACTCGGTCATGGGCTCCATCTTGATGGTGGGCTTGGGGGCGGCGGCATGCATGGGCTTGACCAGCTCGTCGATGTCCTCCTGGAAGAGGTTCTCGGGCCTGGGGGAGGCGAAGGCCCTCGTGGGCTTGTAGGTCATGCCCATGCCCACATCCATGCTGTTGCCGATGTTGAGGTTGATGGCCGGCTCCATGGAGCTGGAGACGGTGAGCCCCAGGGGCGAGGAGATGGGGCTCTCGAGAGCCGACTCGGCGGGACTGATCCGCAGGTCCTGGATGCTGCCGGCGGGGCTGCTCATGCTGCGCATGGAGCTCACGTGACTCATGCTGATGGGGGCGGCGGCGCCGTTGCTCGACATCGAGTGCCCCGCCATCGCCAAGGAGTTCACCAGACTGGCGACGGGGTTGGTGT